TATTAAAAACACACTAATCTTTAAAACAACTAGAGAAATCTTAAAGACCTCAATTTTTATTCTTTACAAAAAAAAAAAAAAAAAAAAAAAAAAAAAAAAAAAAAAAAAAAAAAAAAAAAAAAAAAAAAAAAAAAAAAAAAAAAAAAAAAAAAAAAAAAAAAAAAAAAAAAAAAAAAAAAATTAACAAAAAAATCAAAACAACAACAACAAAAGGAAACCAACACAAAGCAAGACAAAATGTCGATCTATAATGAGCTAATTCTACAAACTGCATTGGATCACATGATATTCATGCTAGCAGTCTAAGCCTAAAGAGACTATATCAAGGTCTGGACACAAGGGCTCTGTATGGTTTGTTTTTTGCTAATTCAAAGTAAGGATGTCATAGCTTTTTTTAATAGAAAGAACTTAATCCAATGACTTGGCGTCGCGTTAGGTATGAATAAAATGAACTTACAGTTTTCTAGATCTTCAAATAATATATCATCATTTTTATTAACTTTCTAAAGTTAGGAACATTTTGAAGGCGATGAAGAGACGACTTGTCATGAGTATAAGTATCATGTCACGTGTTATGTCACTTCTAATGTTACTTGTCACAATGTGTCTTTTGTCAGATCACTGTTCATGTCACTTGACATGTCACTTGTTATTTCAATTGAAAGGTTACTCGTCTCATTCTATCGTTTTTCATGTCCTTTATCATGTCCTTTGTCATGTCCTCTATCATGTCCTTTGTCATGTCCTTTATCATGTCCTTTGTCATGTTCTCTATCATGTCCTTTGTCATGTCCTCTATCATGTCCTTTGTCATGTCCTCTATCATGTCCTTTGTCATGTCCGCTATCATGTCCTTTGTCATGTCCTCTATCATGTCCTTTGTCATGTCCTCTATCATGTCCTTTGTCATGTCCTCTATCATGTCCTTTGTCATGTCCTCTATCATGTCCTTTGTCATGTCCTCTATCATGTCCTTTGTCATGTCCTCTATCATGTCCTTTGTCATGTTTGAATGGATTGATTGAATACTTGTATAGCGCTTGTGTCAACGCTATTTTTGGCATGCTCACGACCCACCGGTCTCATAACATCTATTGAAAGAAAAAGTCTTCAAATGTTTCTTAAATGATTATTTTATCTTTTTCAATTTCTATCAAAGATTGGGGCAAACTGTTCAATAATTTTGGCGCAATAGCTTCAAAGGAGCGCACTTCCTACGACTTCTTTCTGTGTCCATCCACACTGGGAACTCTCAGTAAAGACTGTGTTGAAGAGCGCAGGTCAAGTATGGATACATGTTTAGAAATCAGTTTTTGAAGATATATATATATATTTAGGTGCAGAGCCTTCTATACAGCTATACGCCATGGACAGAACAGTTGTATGTGATTCGCTATGTCGTTTGTTATACTTTATTTCTGTCATTTTTACGTCTAAATAATTTTTTATACAAATGTATATATTATAGTTATATATATACACATTATTGGATGATACATCCCACCCACTTCCTTAAAGATACCTAAGATCAGCTCGATCATGGCGAATTCTTTCTCTGAAATTTTACACCGGAAGATGTAAACATTATTTCGTTCCCCAGTCTGTACGAATTTACCACCGTGCTCCTTCAGGCGTCACCAAATCTAAATGATCCCTAATTGAGTTATATGATGGCTGATTTCTCCGCTACAGAAATACTTTCGATGTTTTGTGATTAAAATTTTATAATTGTAAAATGTTGTTTTTGACAATAAAAGATATGTATTTATGTATGTGCTGAAAATGAATATGTACAATTTAATCAAAAACAGTTCCATGTACTTGGATCAATAACGAATCTTATCTTAAATATAACATTATAACAAATGAATATATTTATATATAAAGCCTTCCGTCTTCACGAGACGGGGGAGTAGCTATGGACACTTCATCAAAGGGGGCTTACTAGGCCAATCTCGGCTGCATTTCTTGCAGGAGAACCTGGTTAAATGTGGCTTCCCGCCATGCTCTTTTTGCTGCAAAGACTTCGTTTCGCGCAACCTCTGACTGTTTGACCCCCTTTCGTTGATTTCTATGTTGACTTCCCTCGTATTCCTTTTGCAAACGTCCTGAAATCGCAAACGTGGCAGTCCAATAAGTCTTGCCCCCTTCTGTCAACTCTCCATACAGCAGACCCTTTGGAATACGGCCTTCCTCTATTCTCCTTACATGGCCCAACATGTGAAGGTATCACGTGTCAAGAACGGAGAATAAGCCACACTTTTTTGGCCCGTTCCAAGACCTCTGTTTTAGACATGGCACCTAGTCCTGCCATCGAATGCGCAAAATGTGATGCAACCATCTTTGATGGAAGCTGTTGAGTTTTCGCTCATGACTGGCATTTGTGGTCCACACTTCACTGCCATATATAAGCGTATCAAGCACACATGCCTGATAGACGCTTAGTGTTGTGCTTTCACTATTCAAATGTATATATATCTATATCATTTATAACGAATATTTCTTTATGTAATATTTTAATTATTAATTATTTTGAAATGTAATTTTCAGAACTCTTATTTGCGTGACGTCAGCCTTCCACGTCACATGGACATTATAATGATCTTGTCATTAAACAACAACATTAGTTTTCACAATCAAGGCCACAATCACAAGTACAATTATAAACAATGGACATTGCCTTATATTTACACATGCCAACATTACATATATTTCACATAACTTAAAAGAACCGTAAGTACCACATTACTGTACTCGTATAGCACTAATGAATATCGTTTTATTCTCCACAGAGAGTATCCCCCCAAGGCGCCCCATGAGATCGCTGACGCCCTCCTGTCTTTGAAACACGCCGTAGTTCACCCTGATCTCAGAGGTCCTCTATCTCCCCTCTCTCCTCCCCCACCACCCCAGGCAATGCCCCACTTCGGCCCCTCCCACTATCCAAGTCAACACATGACCGGGTATGGGATACCGTCCCCGGGGCCCCACCCCTACTCTCAGGGCCACTACCCCCATGCCCACCACCCGACTCAGAGTTTGAGCTACTCGATGAATCACAACCCGTCAATGCAGGCGTCCTACGGTTCTCAGTCTCTGGGCCCCCCGCCCCACCACCAGTACCCTCAATATGACCAGTGTCCAAGTCCCACGTTACAGCACCCCATGCAGACGACCAATGTCCACTTCCCGTCCATGAGTGTCAACGTGTCCATGAGTATGAACGTCGGCATGCCGGCCAGCCTGGGACCTGGGCAATACAACTGCGGATCGGGTGGAAACTCTGGTGGATCTGGTCAAAACTGGTCCATCCCACCCCCAAGCCCGCCCCTACAAGCCCCTGCGTCATTGTCACAGTACCACTCCTCCAGCTCGTCGAGCCTACAGACTCACTGCAACGGCTACAGTGGTCAGTCTCACGCCTTCAGCCACTTTACCCCAGACTACCGGTCGGTCCCCGCGGACCCCAGGTATTACAAACCTGTCCAAGACAACTTCAAAGACAGCAAATTCTGTCAGATGAGTCACCACCACCATCACCATCACCACCACGAACACGTCCTCAAGCGAAGTCGGTTCGGCTCTGAGCGATCCCTTTCCGCCTCCACGGGCCTGGACGGGGGGCTCGTCAAGACGAACCTGTGCCGAATCTGCGGCAAGACCTACGCCAGACCCAGCACGCTTAAAACCCACCTGAGGACCCACTCGGGTGAGAAACCTTACAAGTGCAGCACGTGCAGTAAATCCTTCTCACAAGCAGCCAACCTCACGGCGCACCTAAGAACTCACTCCGGGGAAAAGCCGTTCCGTTGTCCGGTCTGTGAACGTCGGTTCTCTCAGAGTTCGTCCGTGACGACACACATGCGGACACACTCCGGGGAGCGCCCGTACAGGTGCCGGATGTGCAAGAAGGCGTTCTCCGACAGTTCCACGCTGACCAAGCATCTACGGATTCACAGTGGCGAGAAGCCTTACCAATGCAAACTTTGCCTCCTTCGGTTCTCGCAGTCAGGGAATCTCAACCGACACATGAGGGTACACTCCACCAACAGCTAAGCTCGGGATAGTGCTAGTCATATTGAGCTCTAAATCCGTTGACTCTTGTGTTCTGTGCCATCATTTGGCAGTGGCGCATGAACATACGACATTCCTCGGCGTGATACAGGACATGTCTCAATCCATAACAATTTATTAGCGGACAGACTAATAAACTAGAATATAATTAATGAGGTCATCAAAACTCCAGTTTATAGAAGTAAATATACAAGAGTTCTCTTGGAAGCGGTTGGGAAACAAGCAAAACAAACTAAAGTAGACTCGTGTTTACATTGCATTTCTCTGAGATTGCCGCTCTCTTGCACAACACGCATTTTGAGACGGAGACATTTACAGATTGTGACCTATCCACAAAATGTCATTACTGCCAATGAAAGTAGGACTATTAGTGCCAATGAAAGATACACGATTACTGCCAATGAGCTTAAGACCATTACTGCCAATGAAATTAAGACCGTTACTGTCAATGAAAGGAAGACCATTACTGCCAATGAAATTAAGATCATTACTGTCAATGAAAGTAAGACCATTACTGCCAATGAAAGTAAGACCCTTACTGTCAAAGGACGTAAGACCAATGCTGTCACTGAAACTAAGATCCTGCTTACTCCAGGACAAACCACCAAAAAAAAAATGTTTTCAAATAGTTTACTCCATAACTGGCCAACCAAAGCTGCAGTAATGACACATCATGACATGTAGTGACACATTGTGACATGTCGAGACACATCGTGTCATATCGTGACACATAGTGACACTTAAGTGACTGAGCCATAACTCCCTCAATCTGGAGATCACTTACAGAAAATCCTGATTAGACAGTCAGACCATCCTGATAAGCTGGTCAGAACATCATGATAAGCTAGTCAGAACATCTTGGTAAACCGGTCAAAAAATCCTGATTAACCTGTCAGCACATCTTGATAAGCCGGTCATATCAGATAGGATAACCGGTTTTTGCGGAAGCTGAGGAATGATGATCAGTTTAGTGGTCCAGAAAACTCTGGTATCTGAGGACAGTCCACTTGCTTTAAGGACATGACTTCATCTGTTAATTTAGTGTTCGAACTTCAAGTGCATAATATTTGTGTGGTATAAAAACATGTCCTGTATTTATTACCAACACCACATTGCTTAATGTACCATCTAATTTATGTATGTCATGTACTGCCTACATCTGCCACGTACGACTGTCATGTGTGCCTGTCATATGCGTCTGTCATGTATGTCTGTCATGTATGTCTGTTATGTATGTCTGTCTGTCTGTTACGTGTGTCTGTCTTATGTGTCTTTCATGTCTGTCTGTCTGTTAGGTGTGTCTGTCCTGTGTGTCTGTCATGTATGTCTGTCTGTTATGTGTGTCTGTCCTATGTGTCCGTCATGTATGTCTGTCATGTATGTATGTTATGTATGTCTGTTATGTATGTCTGTTATGTATGTCTGTCTGTCTGTTATGTGTGTCTGTCCTATGTGTCTGTCATGTCTGTCTGTCTGTTATGTGTGTCTGTCCTGTGTGTCTGCCCTGTGTGTCCATCATGTCTGTCTGTCTGGTATGTGTGTCTGCCCTGTGTGTCTGTCATGTATGTCTGTCTGTTATGTGTGTCTGCCCTGTGTGTCCATCATGTATGTCTGTCTGTTATGTGTGTCTGCCCTGTGTGTCCATCATGTATGTCTCCTCTGTTATGTGTGTCTGCCCTGTGTGTCTGTCATGTATGTCTGTCCAACACAACTCTGAGATTGAAATCTTGAATTCCAAAAGTTTTGTTTTTTTGCTCAAATTGATCTGTATTAATATGTGTGGACCAATGTGTGGACCAATGTGTGGACCAATGTGTGGACCAATGTGTTGACCACTGTGTGGACCAATGTGTGTACCACTGTGTGGACCAATGTGTGGACCAATGTGTGGATCACTGTGTGGACCAATGTGTGGACCAATGTGCGGACCAATGTGTGGACCAATGTGTGGACCAATGTGTGGAAAAATGTGTGGACCAATGTGTGGACCAATGTGTGTACCAAGGTGTGGACGACACACACCTGGTTACACACCACCAATGTGTGGAACAATGTGTGGACCAATGTGTGGACCAATGTGTGGACCAATGTGTGGACCACTGTGTGGACCAATGTGTGGACCAATGTGTGGACCAATGTGCGGACCAAGGTGTGGACCAATGTGTGGACCAATGTGTGGACCAGTATGTGTGGACCAATGTGTGGACCAGTATGTGTGGACCAATGTGTGGACCAATGTGTGGACCAATGTGTGGACAATGTGTGGACAATGTGTGGACAATGTGTGGACCAATGTGTGGACCAAATATGTGGACCAGTATGTGTGGACCAGTATGTGTGGACCAATGTTTGGACCATTGTGTGGACCAGTATATGTGGACCAATGTGTGGACCATGTGTGGACCAGAATGTGTGGACCAATGCGTGGACCATTGTGAGGACCAATGTGTGGACCATTGTGTGGACCAGTATGTGTGAACCATTGTGTGGACCAGTATATGTGGACCAATGTGTGCACCATTGTGTGGACCAGTATGTGTGGACCAATGTGTGGACCATTGTGTGGACCAGTAGGTGTGGACCAATGTGTGGACCATTGTGTGGACCAGTATGTGTGGCACAATGCGTGGACCATTGTGTGGACCAGTATAAGTGGACCAATATGTAGACCAGTATGTGTGGACCAATGTGTGGACAGGGTGTGGATCAATGTGTGGCCCGATGTGTATATAAGACTTAAAATAAAAATTCAAAAGAACATGATGAGTTATCCTTTTTTCCCCCACAGCATTCTATCTGCTCTCCAAGCAAACCATACAGTAGCCCCTTATAACATACACACACAAAACAGTAGCCCCTTATACACATACACACAATACAGTAGCCCTTTATACACACACACACGCCATAAAGTAGTCCCTTATACACATACACACACCTTATAGTAGCCCCTTATACAAATACACACCCTACAGTAGTCCCTTATACACATACACACACCATATAGCAGCCCCTTATACACATAAACACCATATATAAGCCCCTCATACACATACACACACCATATAGTAGTCCCTTATGCACATACACACACCATATAGTAGCCCCTTAAACACATACACACACCATATATTAGCCCCTTATACACATACACAAACCATATAGTAGTCCCTTATACACATACACACACCATATAGTAGCCCCTTATACATAATACTCACAAAATATAGAAGTCCCTAATGCACATACACACACCATATAGTAGCCCCTTATCCACATACACACACCGTGGTACCCCAGACTAGGGCTAGGCTCACCGGTACCCCAGACTAGGGCTAGGCTCACAGTGGTATCCCAGACTAGGGCTAGGCTCACAGTGGTATCCCAGACTAGGGCTAGGCTCACCGTGGTACGACAGACTAGGGCTAGGCTCACCGTGGTACCCCAGTTTCGGGCAGGGCTCACCGTGGTACTCCAGACTAGGGCTAGGCTCACCGGTACCCCATTCTAGGGCAGGGCTCACCGTGGTACCCCAGACTAAGGATATGCTCACCGGTACCCCAGACTAGGGCTAGGCTCACAGTGGTATCCCAGACTAGGGCTAGGCTCACCGTGGTACGACAGACTATGGCTAGGCTCACCGTCGTACACCAGCCGTTCTTCTCATAAAAATTAGCAAAAAGAAGAACAAATAAAAGAAACAAGAAATTAACAAACAGTCACATAAAATTAGTCATTTAAAAACAGCTTTATAAAAATATTGACCCCGCCCACTCAAGTATCATTGACCCCTGTCTAGCAATGGGCGGCACCCAGCAGCATTGATCATTGTTTATCGGTCAGAGGGGGGGGGGGGTTAATAAATATTAGCTCCATTCACACCACATGCACACCATATATTTGCCAAAATATACACCATATCGTCGCCCCGTATACACCACATGCACGCCATGTGATTTCCTCTTGACACACTGTATATTTTCCCATATGTACACCATATAAGTGACCATATGTACAACATATACTTTTCCCAATAGCTACACTAAAGGTACATATATAACTATTAGCCTTGATCGTCGCAAAACAGTGGGTCGTAATGAAAGTAAACACTGTAGAGAGTATGATCAGTTACAAAATGTTACTTTAGATCAGTTAAAAAGTGTTATCTTAGATCAGTTACAAAATGTTACCTCACATCAGTTACAAAATGTTACTTTAGATCAGAGTTTAAAAATGTTACCTCAGATCAAATAAAAAATGTTACCCCAATATTTGTCATTATTCTTTTAAAGCCACGTCAAATGTCTACTCAAGCGTAGTGGCGTCTCTGGTCAAATCTCTACTCAATCAAAGTGGTGTGTCTCGTCAAATATCTACTTAATCACATTGGTGTGTCACGTCAAATATCTATTCAATCACAGTGGTGTGTCTCGTCAAATGTCTACTCAATCAAAGTGGTGTCACGTCAAAAGTCTACTCAATCACAGTGGTGTGTCACGTCAAATGTCTACTCAATCACAGTGGTGTGTCACGTCAAATGTTTACCCTGTGACAGTGGCGTATCTGTGAGAGGGACCTTTCATGGGGTTTCATTCGCATGCCAGAGAGGCTGAACATTTGAACATTTCGAATTATTTGTTCGCCCCTCGACTTCGTTTTGTAAGCTTCCCTTTTTGTCTTGTTTAATATCTACGCCCCTGCCCATGACGTGCAGCATTCCATCACGTTGGTTATTTATGTGTTGTTCAGGTTAGCGCGCCGTTCGTCAACGGATGTCCGAGAGGGTGGAACTCTTCAGTCTAGTCACGTGCTTGGCTATGAAGATAATCTTAGGGTTTGGTTTGGAAAAAAAAAAAAGGGGGGAGGGGGGGAATCTCACTGCGGTCAATTTAAGGGTCATTCTCCCTGGTCAGTTCAAGGTTAGTTTCTGGTCATCGCGCGTGCTGAGATGCATGCAGTTCTGCTCCCTTAGCTTGGGACAT